TTTTATTCTGGGCCTCTTTAAAAAAATTAAATGTGCTATTTTCATAACATTTTCCCTCAAACATTCAAAACACTTTAAAAGTGATAACTCCACTTTTAAACATAATACATTGAATAATAAAATTCCTCAGTAATGTAAAGTTTTTCTTATTTTTACTTTTTTAATAGGTAAGAATTAATATTTAAAGTAAGAAAATAAATAACAACAAAATACAAGCTTTAAGAAACTGACATATACCACAAATTTTACAAAGTCTAGAAAACAATCTTTTCATTAATTACCTGAAATGCCTTTATATTACTGCTACATTATTATAAGAAAATTTTAGAAAACTTTCATCAAATTTCTTTCATATGTCAGCTATAAGAGATATATTTAACATTTTAAGTTTCCTATAGGTTTGGTCACAAACAGGGAAATCTGAGAAATTCTATTTCTTATGATTACTATTTTTAAAAAAATTTCTTTTAACATGGGCCTCTCCCTGAGCATCTCACAACATGACAGCTTGCTTCATCAGAGTGTGTAAGCAAGAGGGAATATGAAACAAAGATGAAGACACTGTCTCTTTTGTAACCTAATCACAAAAGTGACATCTCATCCTATTCAGTTGGAAGGGACCCCTGAATACTGCCATCCCAATTCAAGGGAAGCAAATTGCACAGGGCATGAATATCGGAGGTAGAACCCTTGAGAAAGGTATGGAAGTTGTCTTCAAAGTCCCTTCATATGGTGCTCTGGACTCTGGTCTTGAACCTCCAGTCTTACTGCTGGCTGAGCAGGCACAGTGGGCCACAGGAACACACTKACGATGCCTTAGATAGGGATGCAAGTAACTCCCACACAACCCATTAAACTCAGAGAAAATGGGTGCCCAAATTCAACTGTCCTCATCAAAGTACCACTGGCCACTCCAATAAAACCTTATACAACTGACTTTAACTGACTGCAGTTAATATATCTTATTCTTGCAAATTTTATAATAGTATAACTTTGTGAATACACCTGAAGAAGGTCAAAGAACACTTAAACTTCAGTAATTCCATCATAAATCAGCCTTTGAGCAAAAGACTTCCTTTACTGATTAGGTTGATCCAGAAAAAAAATGTTACAAAGGAGGTAAMATTTAGAAATTGCTTTGAAGATCAGTTTTCATTGCTGCATTTGAGTTCCTGAAAATCACTGTGATTTAAATTTAAGTAAGCCAATCTCTCTCAAAAAGCTAAAGAAGAGTTTAGGGAAATGTTTCAAAATTGCTTCTGTTCTTTTAATATTACAACATATTACATGKGGTTTCATATTATGGAAATTTACTGATCAAAAATGGAAACCAATACTAATCTGGGACTGCTATTAACTTTAGGAAAAGGGTCTTAATCCTAAAGGTACAGTTGCAAAGACTAAGAGTCAAGAAAGTGTTGGGGTTTTTTTGTTTGTTTGGGTTGGGGTTTATTTATTAAAAACAAAACAAAACTTAGTCAATAAAAGGACTAAGGAACTGAACAGGCACTTCACAGAAAAAGAAATATGAATAGTCAACAAATATATGAAAAAATGTTCAACATTTTTAGCAATTAGAGAAATGCAAATTAAAACTAAACTGAGATTCTATCTCATTCCAATCAGAATGGCAATTATCAAGAATACAAGTAACAATAAATGTTGGCGAGGATTTGGGGGAAAAGGTACACTCATACATTGCTGGTGGGACTGCAAATTGGTGTAACCACCACTCTGGAAGGCAGTATGGAGATTTCAAAAATCTAGGAATGGAACCACCATTTGATAACCACAGTAATCCCACTCTTTGGTCTATATCCAAAGGAGTTAAAATCAGCACACTACAGTGTCACAGTCACATCAATGTTTATAGCAGCTCAATTCACAATAGCTGAGCTATGGAACCAATCTAGGTGCCCTTCAACAGATGAATGGATGATGTATACACACACACACACACACACACACACACACACAATGGAATATTAATCAGCCATAAAAAGAATGACTTTATGATATATATGCCAGTAAATGGATGGCTCTATAGACTATCATGTAAATGAAATAAGACAGTACCAAAAGACCAAAGGCTGATATGCAAATGTTAACACACAACAAGTGATGGAGGGGAAGAACAGAAGTTCAGTGAATCGGACAAAGGGGAATGAAGAGAAAGGAGGGGTGCTAGGAATAAGACAATAGAATGTATTGGAMATAACTTTCCTGTGTGCATACATGAATACACTCTACTGTCATGTATATCTAAAAAAGAATAAAACATATTATTAATAAGATTAAAAATAAAAATAAATAAAGCAAGAAGCAAAAAGGGGGAAAAAGACCTTTGTCTCCATATCATTCCTTAGCTATTGTTTCATTTCTTCTCCTACATAGCAAAACTTCTCTAGAGTTCTCAGCATACCATCTTTATATTCTAATCTCCCATGTATTCTCAATGTAATTTTATTATAATACAATCCAAATACACAGAAAAATACACTAATAATACAAAAATGCATAGCTACTAACACCCACATTTACACATTTTTTTTTATAGTGCTGGGGATTGAACTCAAGGGTGCTCTACAACTGAGATACATCCCCAGCCCTTTTAATTTTTTTAGAGACAGGTCTCACTGAGTTGTTTAGTGCCTCGCTTTTGCTGAGGCTGCCTTTGAACTCTGGATCCTCCTGCCTCATCCTCCCAAGCTGTTGGGATTACAGGTATGTGTCACCGTGCCTGGCTATGTTTTTATTTTTTGGTAATCACGAATTAACCCAGGGGTGTTTAATGACTGAGCCACATACCCAGCCCTTTGTATTTTTTATTTAGAAACAGGGTCTAACTAAGTTGTTTAGGTCCTCAGTAAGTTGCTGAGACTGGCTTTGAATTTATAATCCTCCTGCCTCAGCCTCCTGAGCTCCTGGGATTACCAGTGGGTGCCAATACCCAGATGCCCCTTTTTATTTTTTATTTTGAGACAGGCTCTTGCTAAGTATCCTAAACTGACCTTGAACTTGGGATCCTCCTGCCCCAGCTTCCCAAGAGGCTGGGATTATATGTGTGTACTACCACATCCAGCAAAACTTCTAAAATCCAAGAAAAGCACAAAACAAATTCAAGAAGTTCAAAGAACATCAAGGAAGATAAAACACCCCCCAAAATCATATCAAGATACATTGTAACCTGTTTAAAGTCAAAGACAAAGAGCAAAAGAAAAGCAGCAAAAGAAAAGCAATTCATCAATATATAATGGGGAGCTGGGGCTGTAGCTCAGTGGTAGAGCGCTTGCCTAGCATGTGTGAGGCACTAGGTTTGATTCTCAGCACTGCATATAAATAAATAAATAAAATAACGGTTCATCAACATCCTAATATACACATATATGAATATATATATGAACTTCCATAAAATTATCAGGGGATTTCCGACCTTGCAGGTCAGAATAATAGTACGAGACATTCAAAGGCCTGAAGGGAAAAACAAAAATCTTTCAACCAAGAAAGTTTGCAGTGTTCAACAAAACTCTCCTTCAAAAGTTAAAGAAAAATAGTAACTAGGAGAATATCTCAGAGATAGACACACACACACACACACACACACACACACAGGAAATAAGAAAAATAAAGCTTGTCACTACAAAATATCAGTGAAACATAAGAAGGCAAAAAGAAAGGACAAAAAAGAAACAAGACATAGAGAAAACAATAAGCAAAGTGCCAACAGTAAGTCCTTCTCTATCAGTAATTACTTTAAATGCAAATGAATTTATTTCCCAATATAAGATTGGCTAAATGGGTTAAGTAAAACAACATCTTGGGCTGGGGATGTGGCTCAAGCAGTAGCGTGCTCACCTGGCATGCGTGCGGCTCGGGTTTGATCCTCAGCACCACATACAAACTAAGATGTTGTATTCGCCAAAAACTAAAATAAATAAATAAATAAATATTAAAAATTCTCTCTCTCTCTCTCTCTCTTAAAAAAATTACTATATGGGCTATCTATAAAGCTCACTTTAGATCTAAGGATACACATAGGCTGAAAGTTGAAAGGACAGAAATAGATTCCAGGCAAATGTTAAAAAAATAAATAAATAAAGGAATCAGGGTTGTTATATTAATATAAGAATAGACTTCAAGTAAAAAAAATTACAAGAGACAAAGGATACTATAAGATAAATCTCACATTAATCCACGTCTTTCAAAATTCAAGATGACTGAAATTATATAGAATATATTTTCCAATCACAATGGAATTAAAATAGAATTTGAAAGCAGAAAATCCACAATGTATAAAACAAAGTGCTTTTTGAATCTGTAATGTTTCCCAAAAGCTCATGTGTTAAGAGAAATGCAGCAATGTCTAGAGGTAGGACTTTTAGGAAGCGACTGGATATGAGGACTATAACCTCATCAGTGGATTAATCTACTTGATGCATTATTATTTGAATGGACTACTGGGTGGTATAGTAGGCAAATGAGGTGTGGTTAGAGGAAGTGGGTCACTGGGGGCATACCCTTGGGTACTTCACCTTGTCCCTGGCTGCTTTCCCTCTCTCTTCTGCTTTCTGGCTGCCATGAGCTGAGCAATATTCCTCTGCCATGCCCTTCTGCCATAATGTTCTGTCTCACTTTAGACCTAAAGAAGTGGAGCCAGCCAACCATGGACTTAAGTCTGTGAAACCACAAACCAAAGCCAGGCACAGTGGTGTATGTCTGTAATCTTTCTGACTCAGGAGGCTGAGGCAGGAGAATTGCAGGTTTCAGGTCAGCCTCAGCAACTTAGCAATTTAGTGAGATCTGATGCCACAGAAATAAAAAGGATAATAATACAATACTATGAGCAACTGTAGGCCAACAAATTAGATAACCTAGATGAAATGGATAAATTCTTAGAAAGGGGTGAATAGAGGTATACAATCTACCAAAACTGAGACATAAAGAAATAGATAATCTGAGGCCTTGGCTCGCTTCTGCGCCACCTTGTTTTCACCTTGCAGGGACCCACTGAGCTCGCCCCCGCTCCACCCCACCCGCAGACAGTCCAAGACCAAGAACAGCYCTGAGTATGCTTCGCCTTGGTGGTCATGGGCGCTTCATCTGCCATAATTTTCAGCGCCCTGGGTGCCTCCTATGTCAAGGCCAAAAGTGGCACTGGCATTGCAGCCATGTCAGTCATGAGGCTGGACCTGATCATGAAGTCCATCATCCCAGTGGTCATGGCTGGGATCATGGCCATCTACGGCTTGGTGGTGGCAGTCCTCATCGCCAACTCCCTGAATGATGGTATTAACCACTCCAGGAATTTCTTCCGGCTGGGTGCAGGCTTGAGCGTGGGCCTGAGTGGTCTGGCWGCTGGCTTTGCCATTGGCATTGTGGGGGATGCCTGTGTTCGGGGCACTGCCCAGCAGCCCTGCCTGTTTGTGGGCATGATCCTGATCCTCATCTTCGCTGAGGGGCTTGGCCTCTACGGTCTCATGGTGGCCTTCATACTTTCCACAAAGTAGTGCCTCAAGCTCACCAGCCACAGAACACRATGTAAAGACCACCCCCTCCTCATTCCAGAATGAACAGCCTGGCACACGCTAGGGCAGCCACCCCCTCCGTAGTTGGTCTTGTAAATGCGCAGTGTCCTAGTGCCCATCATCTGTTGCCCAGCCTGGCTCCTTCTTCCCCATGCTGTGGACATTTGGCCCACTCATATCCCATCCAGGCCCTGGACCAGTGAGCATGCCAGCCTCCGGCCCCCGCCCTCTGCCCTGGAGTGCTCTGTGTATAAGAATGAATTAGAGTTGTCATTTTTCTCTTCACTGGATGTTTATTTATAAAAGATTTGACCTGTTCCTGTGTCTGTGGAGCAACCCTCATCTCCCAATTATATAGTACACTTTAGGTAACATGTTGCCCTGTGGGGCCCCCCTGCTGAGACTTTTTGGATGGAACCTCCCCTTGCGCCTGGTGTCCCATTGGGGGCAGAATGCCAGGCACCAGGTCCTGGCGCCCAGCTGTGTCCAATAAAGTTCTCGGATGTGAAGGAAAGAAAGAAAGAAAGAGAGAGAGAGAGAGAGAGAGAGAGAGAGAGAGAGAGAGGGAGGAAGAAAAGAAAAGATAATCTGAGCAGATCAATAACTAGTAAGGAGGTAGAATCAATAATCAAAAACTTGCCACCAAAGAAAACCTCAGGACCAAATGGCTTTGCTAGAGAATTCTGTTCTACATTCAGAAAGAATTAACATCTAAACTTCTGATATGTTTCAAAGAGTTGAAGAGGAGGGAACACTTCCTTCCTCTATGAGGTCAGCATTACACTGACATCAGACAAAGACACTACAAGTAAACTACAGACCAATATCCCTGGTAAATATTGATGCAAAAATCCTTAATAAAATATTAGCATATCAAATCTAACAGCACCTTGGAAGAATCATACACCATCACCGGATGGGATTTAATCCTGGAATGCAAAGACAGTTCAATATGTGGACACWGATAAATGTAACATACTACATTAACAGAATGAAAAACAAAACAAACAAACAAAATAAACAGAGGGTCATCTCAATATACAATTTCTTTTTTTAAAAACTCAACATTTCATGATTTAAAAAAATAAACATTCAACAAACTAGAGCTAGAATAAAACTACCTTAGAATAATAAATGGCATATGTGAAAATCTTACAGGTAACATCATAATTAATCCAAAAGACTAAAAGCTTTTCCTCTAATATCAGGAACAAGACAAAGATACCTACTTTCACTACCTCTATTTAACATAGCATTGTGAGTCTGAGCCAGACAATTAGACAAGAAAAAAATAAAAAATAAAGGCATCCAAATTGGAAATGAAGAAGTAAAATTATCTCTGTTCACAAATGACATTAGCTTATCTCTAGAAAGCTCTAAAGATTCTACAAAAATAACTACTAGAACTAATAAATGAATGCAGCAGTYGCAGGAAACAAAATTAACACACACACACACACACAAATCAGTTAGATTCTATACACTGACAATGCACAAGTAGAAAAGGAACTTGATTTCACACAATTAGGTATTTGGACTATATAATCTAAAAAAGAGTATATATTAATTCACTGAGAATATTTGCAAATATTCAGTAAAATGATATATATGTATTTCACCTTGCATGTGCACCACATATAAATTAATAAAAAATAAAGGTACATCAACAACTAAAAAATATTTTTAAAAAAATAGAGCTGGGGATGTGGCTCAGTGGTTGAGTGTCTCTGAGTTCAATCCCTAGTACAAAAAAAAAAAAAAAAAAAAAAAAGAGGAGGAGGAGGAGGAGGAGGAGGGGGAACTAGACTAAGAGAAAATATTTTCCACATATCCAAAAAAAGGACTAGTAGTATCTAGAATTATATAAAGAACCCTCAAAACTCAACCATAAACAGTTTAGTCAGAAAACATATTTTACTGAAGAATATATACAGATGTAAATAATCACATGAAAAGATGTACAACATCAATATATGTGAATTTATATGCCTTTTTATTAGTACATGAGCTTGGAAAAATGTAAAGAAGGATACTATCAGGTTGTTAATTATCTCCCCTGGGGAGAAAAGGGGCTTGAAGACATCAATGTGGTGAAATAAGAATGGCAGAGCAAAGAAGAAGGAAATTTTTARAAGTTAGATTGCATTAATATGCATATGATGAATATTATGTATTATGCAAAACAATATTTCAATTGGTACTTTTTTGATTACATTTTCTAACAGATGTAATATGTAAGATATTTTTCTTTTGGGTATTGGGGATTGAACTCAGGGGCACCTGAGCCATTAGGATACAGGCATGAGCAACTGTGCTCAGCAAGATGTACATTTTTAATTTCTGTTTATATCTGGTCCCCATACTGAAATGTCTTATTAGTTGTGATAGGCTTTGCATTGATTTTCTTGGGTAAACAATCATATAAGTTGAAAATAAAACTCTGGGTCCCATTTTATAATTTGTATGTTTGTTATTTCTTTTATTTTTGTCTCCTTTGATTACAGCTTGAAATTTCAGCTTTCAAAGTAATATTAAAGAATACTGGTTTTCTCAGTCATCCATATTTTATTTCTTTAATATTTCTAGGGTTTACAGTTGACTACAGTGTGGGTTACACAGAGGTATGTTTGTATAGTTTATAAGAAAAATATTCTGAATACTAATGGGTCTCTTTTTGACATCTATAAACATAACATTTAATTCTTTGACCTGTTAATATGATACAGCATATGAATAGATTTCTTTAATATCAAACCATCATTGCATTTTAGAAAACAGACTCCCTACTGGCATTGCTTATTTATTCAATATAGTTCTGAGTTTAATTGGTTAATATTTTATTTAAAGGGTATTACATATTCATGGATTTTTCTATAGTTTTCTCTTTGTGAATTTTGTCAGATTTTCATATCAGGATTATTAACATGAGCTGAGGTGCTCTTATATTTTCTGTGCTCAAAAATGTTTTGAAAAGCATATGAGTTGACAGCGGACACCATCTTGGAAAGCTGAAGTATACACCGCCACTCTCCGACAGATTGCAACATCAAAACAGGTGTGTGTCACTCAGCTCACCCCCCAGACATGGGGGAATTCGCATAAAATCTCTCCTAGGCTTTCCGGGGGAGGGAGTATCAGAGTGAGCCTGCATAAAGACTAGGGGAAAANTAATTAAATAAATAAAGAAAAAAAAGAAAAGCATATGAGTTATTTCTTTATAATTTGATGGTAATAATCATTCAAATGCTTAAGGCCTGAAACATYCTATAGAGGTAAATTTTAATAAAACTTCAACTTGTTACATGATCATTTTTATTTTGAGTCAATTTTAGTAAATTATATTTTCCTAGAAAATCATTCATTYCATCAAATAGTCTTGTCAAGATCTTCCCATTTTCAAGAGAAGCCAGAAATTAAGTTTTATTATTTKAATATTAAAAATAATTTTGGATTCATATTAATGTTAAGATCTTATATGACTATAGTATAATAATTAAAGTCAGAAATTAATATTGATATGATGTTATTAGCTAATTTGCAGGCTTTCTTTGAATTTCTCCAATTGTTTCACTAATATTCTTTAAGACATGATCCAGATTCCGCAATGTGTTTAGTCATATCTTATTTGTTCTGATTTTTTTAATGTTAGCAAATTGCTTATAGTGATGCACAGGACCAACAGGATCTTCAGATCTCAAGTTTACTACTCTTGGACAAATAGGGCATAGTTAAAGCTATGTCTTGTATAAGATCAGCAACAGCTGTYCTGAAACTCAATGCAGGACTAAGGGAGAGTTGATGGAGCGTGTTCAATACATCTCTTCTTTCTCTAATTTGCCAGATGGATATTTTTGCACTTATTGTACCATGTAGAAACAAATTGTTTATTTGCTTATTCTGTTATCCTTTACACCTTGAATGGCCTACCATATACAAGTAAATTCTAACAAGAACAAAATGCTGTTTGGGAAAAGTTTCTACTAGCAAGAATTCATGTGTGCTATATATTGTCATGGATATGTAATGTTTTTGCTAATCCACCTATTTTTCTTTCTTTTAGAATGGCAATTCACTTTTCCTTTTGGAAATAACTGCTACCAACTCCATGCTATCTTATTAGAACTATCAATCAGATGCAAAGGAGAATATATGAACCAGGTTAGGCTAACAGTTTTTCCTGGAATTTTGTATCTTAGGTAAGCAATATAAGATGGGAAAATGACTGGTTCTCATTCATTTCATTATCAGAACCCTGAATAGACTTAGATCCCTGTTTTAAAAATAAAACAAAGATATTGTGTCCACCTATAACTAAAAATAAATATAAAAAAAGAAAAAGAAAGAAGACATGATAAAAAAAAAGTAAACTGTAGTAAACTGGTTCCTTTTCTTAGAAAGGTTTAATTTGTTCAATTTTTACTTGTATTTTACAAGCTACTCCCACTTTTCCAATAAATCTTTTTTTTAAGAGAGAGAGAGAGAATTATTTTTTAATATTTATTTTTTAGTTTTCGGTGGACACAACATCTTTATTTTATTTTTTATGTGGTGCTGAGGATCGAACCCAGCGCCCCGAGCATGCCAGGCAAGCGCACTACCGCTTGAGCCTCATCCCCAGCCCTCCAATAAATCTTTACCTTCCCCTCACTCTGGTTTTGGCTTAATATTGTTGAAGTCACTTGCTATTGCTTAGAAATCTAAGATAYACGTGTAAAAGAGAAGAGAAAGGCTGTTTCTAGATTTTCTTCCCTGAACGAGTGGAAATTAACAAAAAGGAAAGTTGTGATATATGAAATTCAAACTCTCCCTTCTTTGGTAAGCTAAATTTATATCCTTCATAATAGTTAATTTAGTACTCATATACCAACTATTTTAGTGTATAACTGCTATTGATACATATGTATTATTTTATGTACATCAATAAAGTTACAGCAAGTAGATAGCATAAATATAACTGCAACATATATTAAATTTGACTATAT